AATGGTAATTGTTATGGTTTCTTCACTGCTTGCAGGGGCATTAAACAGGGGGACCCTCTCTCCCCTATTATTTTCATTTTAGCCTTTGATTATTTATCTAGAATGCTCAATCATTTTCAACTGATTCACCCTCATACACAGTTTTCTCATAAGTCCAAAATGGTGGTTTCTCACCTTGCTTACGAGGATGATGTTACTATTTTTTCTAATGCTTCTAAACTTGCCTTAAAACAAATAATGAGGCTCTTAAATGATTTTCAGAATTGTTCTAGACTAGTTTTTAATTGTGACAAATCTCATATGTATTTAAGCAAACGGGTTAAGCAGCAACTTATTCATTGGAGGGTTTCTTATACAGGTTATCATTATGTTTTTCTCTTTCTTAAATACCTTGAGGTTAATTTGATTAGAGGAAAGAGGAAACAGATTCATATGGATGATGTTATTGAAAAAATCAAGTGTAAAATTAACGATTGGAGAAATGTTTTCCTTTCTACTTGGGGCAGGATAACATTGCTATCTAGTGTGCTTCAGAGTATTCCTCTATATGTTTTGCAGGTGTTTAATCTGAAGAAAAGTGTTGTTAATGTCATAGAGAGGTTTTTTAATAAATTCCTTTGGGTGGGGAATGGTGCCAAAAAGATTTGGGACTCTTGGCAAAGGTTGTATAAGCCTAAGAAGGCTAGCGGTTTTGGCTTTAAAGCCTTGAAACACACGGTTGAAATAAACATTTGCAAACTCTTGTTTAAATTTAGAATAGGTTCATCTCTATGGGCCACTTTTATGCATCAGAAATACTGTGATTTTTCCCACCCTTCCCAGGTTTTGTGAAAGGTTGGTGATTCTCGGATCTGGAAAGCTGTTGTTAATGCTAGGTCTATTGCTAGTGATTTTATGTTTTGGGACATTGGTAACGGTAACATCTCTTTCTGGAGTGATAATTGGGGATTGCCTTTTCTCTCTGAATATTCTCATCCTCCCCATACTAATAACTTACTTGTTTCTGATTTCTTTTCTCAAGATAGATGGGATTTCACCAAACTGTGTTCTATTGTGAGGGAGCAAAATGCTAAGCATATAAATACCATACCTATTACCCCTTCCCGCAGGGATTTCCCCGTGGGGAAAAGGATGACTTCTCAATCGGTCTGCAAGTTACTCTATGACACTTTACACTCTCACCTGGATTGATTTTGAGGAAAATAAATTTGGCACAAACTTTTAACTCCCTCTATCTCCTTTTTTTCCTCTGGCGATTTTTCTCTTCTTTACTGCCTCTTGATGACATTCTAAAGTTGAAAGGTCTTAAATTGGCTTCGAGATGTCCTATGTGCAAAGTCTCAGAGGAAGATTCGAGACACATATTTTTTGAATGTGTTTTTTCTTTTGATGTTTGGAATATATTGGTCTTACACTTTGGTATCCCCTGGATCCATAGAGGCATCCTAAGTATTTATTTATGGAAATGGAAGGCTTTTGATGATAAGGGGGGAGGGTCCCCCCCCCCCCCCCCTCCCTCCTATAGCATCTAATGACAGCTTCTTATGTGTTGGCCTATTACACCAAGGCCCTCAGGGTGTGTACCAATGATGTTTCGAACTTCAGGCCCCCTAGTTTAATCAGGTGGGTTCCCCCTTCTTCCGAATGGGTTAAGGTGAATGTGGATGCCACTTGGAACCATCAATTGGAACCATTTATCTGTTGTGATTGGGGGCATTTTTAGAAATTTGGAGGGTAAGTGTATGTGTTATTTTTATTCTCTTGTTGCTACTAACAACTCCTTAGCCACAGAAAGTTGGGGGATTTTTCTTGCATTAACGGTGGCAATTGCTTTCAATTTTCATACGATGAGGTGGAAACTGATTTGAAAATGCTCTATGATATACTGTTGGGTATCTCTCCTCCTCTCTGGGATATTATATGCATTTTTAAACGTATTTCTGCTTTAATTTCTGAAATACATATGAAAGTGAGTTGGAGTTTCATCCATAGAGCGGGCAACTCCCCAACCGATTAGTTAGCCAGGCAAGCAGGGGATGCATGCTCTGTAGGTTTATCTCCCCCTGCTCCCCTCAGACGTCTCCTTACTGGGGATAACCTGGATTTGCCTTATGTTAGATTTTTTAAACTACTTGCTACTTGGGTGCTCTCGTATCTTTACTGTGGTTTGGTTTTGCACCCTCCCTCTTGTGGTTTCTTTATTTTGCTGGCAGGTTTCGGATTGCACCCCTTTCTAGCTTTGTGTCTCTGGCTCTCCTGATCTCTTGGTTTACGCTGGTCTTGTGCTGTTTGGCTGCTCTGCTCAATCGATCGACATCCCAGTTTGCACTGTTGTTTGCTGGAGTGTTTCCAGCGGATTAAAAGTTTCCTGCTGCCTCTTTTTTTTCTTGGATTCTTTTTTGTTTCTTTTCCTGTTATTTCTACTACACGGGAGGTATACTATTTTTGAGTTTTGCTTTTTTAGCTTGGGTATACTTCTAAGTTTGGAGTTTTCATTTCGCGTGAGTTGTAATGTGTGAGGAGGATTGCGGGTGAGTTAAAAGTATTTTTAGATGTTTTAGACAGAGATCCTCCTCCCCTCCAACTTTTGTACATGTTTCTTAATTTTAAAACGTAGGGAGCCTCATATGCTTTTTCCCCAATAAATACATATATATATATATAAAATGTATATCATAATATAATGCATAACTTATAGATCTTTTGTCATGCATATATTTCTCGTATAACAATATAAAGAATCTATTGTAATTCAAATCTAAATGAATTAGAGCATACATTTTGAAATAAAAAGGATTAATGAAGTTTAGAATATAATTACTTGCATCAATCTTTAGTAGATCTTTTTATTAGCTTAATCGTTCACTTCAGTGAATCGCCGATATTTTACCAATCTCAATTCTAAATAGCCTTCATCCACACTTTCTAATTGAATAAATTTTTAATAATGTTAATTTAACTAATCATTTCATTAATTCTAATAATAATATAATCATTAGCATTTACTTTATAGGCTTTTAGATTGATCTCCTCCCTTACTCGCATGCAAAATTTTCTTGTTAGCCTTCCTGACCGCAATTTGGCATAATTTCAAATTAATATATTAAATAAATATCAATTTAATGTATATAAAATTCCAATAAACAATTTTAATATAAAATTTTACCTTAAATTGCAACTTAGGGTTTTAATAGGCTTCGGCTCTCCATTTCACGCCCATAATTCTTCCTCTTCCCTTGTACAAAAAGTTCGCTCACCTTACCCCTACAAATTCAGAACATTAGTATCTTTGATCCCAATTCAAGTAAACCTCTCATTAACATTAGTTAAACATATACACACACATGCATGCGCACACCTATGTGATATTTTATCACTTGATTAAAATCTCAAAATTTACTCTTTTCTTAACCCTCGGTCGTCTGCCCTAAAACGAACGCACGAGCTTCTTCACTTCCTCTTCTACCTTCGATCGCAACTCAACCTTGCAGCGCAAGCACTCAACGCTACCCCCTCCTTTCTTTGACGTCGATAACCCAAACAAACACCTGCACAGGAAGCCCGACTTTAATATCAACTTGACCCAATATCGTACACAAGAGATCATCTTCCTTCCTCTCCATGAAAAGCAAGAGCCACACGATGCCTCCTCCTTCGTCTACACACGAATCGTCTTCCTTGCTCTAGATACACGTCAATACACTGAGGTTATGAAGCCTCCTCCTCCTTCGGCTTTTTCTTCTTCTCGATTACACCATTCTACCTTCCCTCGCTCTCCGCTCTCTCTACCAATCTTTGTCTCTCGTTCTCTCTGCTTGTAAAACAAACAATTGAATCCCTGTTACCTGTCTGGTTTGTCTCAAAAAAAATGTGACATTTTCCTCTTAAAAGAAATACTCCCCACGGTTATATCTGACACAACACTAAACCCTTGATAAATCCTTTTTCTATACTTCATTTAATTGTTTTTAAACTATTACAAAGTTGATATAAGATTTCAGCCAAAGATGTCAATTTTAAATCAAGTTTTCAAAGTAATCAACCAACTTAGTCAAGTTATACTTAATCATTTAAAAGACTTGAAAACAAAACTCATCTACCCTGCACAAAAATTTGTCAGGAAAGACAAACTTTTAATTGATTATAGCTCACAAAAAGTGAATATTATATTAAGTGTATAATTATGTTCATGCTCAAACTAATTTCAAGCCAGTAAAGATGTGGCCAAAGTCATCTGTCCACGTGGTTTGGCCCAAAGGACGACTTAATTTTGTCCCACCAGACAAACATCAACCCCAGATTTATTAGAGCACCTTAAACGATACAACCCATGATTGTTGACAATGAACTTCTAGTAACGTTGGGTAGACTATCTCCTCTAACTAAGTATATTAGGAATTAAGATGACCTGAAACGATGGAACCATGGAATCTTGATCGACTTCGTCATCGTTCCCCCCACAATCTGCTTTAAGCTCAAAAGTGATAAATTTTATAATCTAAAACTTTTAATTTGCTGCTACTATCCATTGATTATGCATAGGCTTAATCGAAAGTGTTCTCTTGTTATCAGAAGGGTTAATTATCTATATGAGCTAGTGCCTATGCGAAACATCAAAATTCGGATCAAAAAGTCCTAACAAAATGAGAGTGACATCTCTTGACAGTGTCTCATCTATATTGTGAAACAACACTCTTGGTACATTTATATGATTGATAGACTGATAGTGGAACTCTAGAAAATTCCTAAAATATTTTGAATTTGATAAAAGATTCCTCACATGTTTTGATTAAATGCATGTAGATCAGTATGCACGCACATACCAATGACCCCTTTATCTGCATTGGTTTTAATCTAACTATGCTTGGATGCTTATACACGACACTGCATTATTACATATAAGCCTGGTAGTGATTAGTATTTATATAAATTTGTTTCAGCGGTCAATTGTTAAAATCTGAGTATTTGCTTACCAAAATTTTAAAAAAAATGAGACTCACCAGCTTTGGGATTACACCAGCTTCTACCATATTGTTGTGATTACAGGGGCTCAATGACAGATTTGCCAAAACACCTCCTGCTGCCTCTTTTACCTTGATTTCTTCATCATCAAGGAACTTAACAAGGAGTGGTAAGAAATCACCATGTGCTATCTTTATCCTGGTTTTCTCATCAATGGATAAATTCCACAATGTACATAGACTTTGCTCCTTTACCTGCATATGCACACTGTCAAAAAATTAACATCATCTTCAAAATTATACTTTTAAAGAATAATACTTTTCAACTTTACCCCTATAGTCAAACAGGGTTGATGAAGCAGCCAGACAATTTCTTCAATCACTCCACTTTCGGCTATAATATCTCTATACAAGTTAACTGATGATATGTTCCGCAGAAGGCCTGCAGCTGCTTCACATGTAGAAAAATTACCTGATTTCAAAAGGCTGAGAACAAGTTTCACACAGCCTGGAAACTTCATAATAACATCAATAAAATTCTTTCCCCCATCTGAATATTTCCAAAGTGTCATCACAGCATGTTCCCTGTCTACAGGGTTATTGTCTAGACCAAGCATTTGAACAAACAGTCCTATGTAGCCTTCTCCTGAATTAGCATTGCTAATAGACACTTCAATATCCTGGGAAAATATAGGTATCTAACATGACGACATGAGACATTCAGAAGTAGATTATACCGCTTGTGTAAGAAATAGAAAAAGCATTGTATTGCCAACTTAAAAGTTAAACCAGCTCAATTATGGTTCAAGTGATACCTACTTTCAACCATTCGTAATTGATGTTTCAAGCAGAATAATTCCAACCTTCATAGATAACAGCAAGTTGTCTTAAGAAAATTATGTTGAAAAACATAAAAGAGAACTATATTTTTTTCATATACCAATTGGTAGAATCAACACAATTATCTAAACACTCAGAACAAGGAAAGATCACATCATTCTAAGTGCTAAGTGAGTGCAATTTCTTCAAAATCATACCATTGCTCTTAAGCACGAAGTGAGAACATGACAATTAATGCCTAGAGAAGGGCGTCATAACTTTTGCACAACATGAGTGTAAACGTGATAGGATCTAACAAGATAATCTATGAAGACCCTTTCTAACAAGATCATTGTTTTAAAAGGCGTTATTGAATGCACTCCGTGTGCGCATCTGGCCAATGCGTGAGGTATTAAGCCCTGGCCCAACGACGGGGTTGTAATCCTCCTAGGGCAAACAATCCATCACACCTTTTACGCCTGGGAAAAATTTTACGCCCCAGGAGGGGGCATACGCCTAGGGCTGTCAAAAAAACTCGTTGTTCGTGAACAGTTCTTGTTCAGCTCGTTGGGGAGTTCGTGTTTGATTCGTTCGATAAGCAAAAGAGACGAAGACGGAGACGAACACGAACAATTTTTTTTTTTTTTCGTTTGGTTTATAAACGAACCAAAGAGACGAACACGAACAATATTTTTTTTTTTCGTTTGGTTTATAAACGAACCAAACACGAATAGTCATATGTTCGATCGAGAAAATTAATTACTTTTAATTTTGAATTATATATAAAAATATTATCATATTTTAAAAATAATAATATACTCTAAAAACTTATCATATTTTAAAAAATTAAATCCTATAAATTATAATTTGATCTTCAGGTTCGCCTCTTAGCTTATATTAAATTCTATAATTTCGTATTTATCTTCAGGTTCGTCTCTTAACTTAAATTTTCTTATATTTCTTTAAAATTTATTTAGTTTCTTTAAATGAAAGATAGTTTTTGGGGGTGAAATCTGGCATATTACCTCTAGTTTTGAGTTTTTTATGGATGAGATATGATATTATGGTTTTATTGTGAGTTATGTTTCAGATAGGTTGCATTTGTGTTGTGATTCATACAGGTTTAAGCATTAATTTCATATAGGTTTAAGTTTTTAAATAATTTTTAACAATTCGAACAATACAAATAAATTTGTAAGATTTCGAACAATTCAAATAATTCGAATAATTTGAACATTTCAAACATATTTCAAACAAATCATAAATCAAACCGACAAATAAATCAAACCGAACACGAACAGTAACTTCACAAACAATCTCAAACACGGGTATATTTCAAACACACGTAATTTCAAACGAAACGAATACGAACACAAGCTCTGTTCGTTCGTGTTCGGTTCGTGTACACCCCTCTACTGGCTAGCCAATTAAAAAGAAAATGAAAGTCCTAATCATGTCGTTTCTCATACCTACCCAAATCATAGCTCTGCAATCTCTAGCATTGTCTCTCCTGCAGTCTTTTGCAGGCAGAAGAAACAGCCACAGAAAGCAATGAGCGATCTAGCTGCATCCTTCCTTTTGTTCATCTTCTCAATCACAAGCAGGAGACCCCCTTAGACGATACAACCCATGATTGTTGACAATGAACTTTTAGTAACGTTGGGTAGACTACCTCCTCTAACTAAGTATATTAGGAGTTAAGATGACCTGAAACGATGGAACCATGGAATCT